TGGACTCAGGTTTAAGTTGTCGACGAGTTTGTGTTTATATCCTACTTTACTTTTATTGCGGTTTCACCCACGTTGCCCGTGCCGATTTAAATGGTAAAAAAATATTTATTACTAAAACTTCCATGGCAAAATTACAATCAAAATATGCCGTAAAAACTCTTGATAAATTTATGATAAAAAAGGTCTAACATAGATTTTGTATCCTTTGTCTTTGCAAGCTTTTGTTACGACGACACGCAATATTATGTGAATATTTGATATTGTAAACCATTTGCATATATTTTTTCTCAGCTAAAAAAAATTCTCAAGAGACAAAGAACGTTTTAAAATGTTAATGATGACATGAAATCGTATTCAAACAAGAGACCTTTGATAATGTTACAAAGTTATACTTTGTTGCATAAAGCAAACGCTGTGTCTTGTAGCAAAAGACATTAAACTAAATATAGAAAGCTTTGAATTGCTTTTACCACAGAATCATACTAATGAGGAATAAAAAGTTACGCAGATCCAGAGAGATTTATTTGTTATATATTTCGAGCCAAATGTTCCAAATATCTTTAATTTAGAAAATGAGAAATTTGTATACTTCTAATGGGCTTGTCACAGTTAACGTGTTTATAAAATTTTCTTGATGAATAAACCACAAATATACAGCCAAAATTATAGGGGGAAAATACATAAACATGTTTGTGACTTTGTAACAGAGGGTCATAAGCTATTAATTTAAAATATCTATTTGCTTTGTTTGCTGGATGCAATGATGAGACAGGGCAGTGTTTGACTTTGCGCCCCCACTTTAGTTGGAATTGTTGCATCCAAGTTTAGTTTAGATGACAATGTAATGTTTGATAGGTTTTAAATCTAAAATGGTGGACGGCCCAAGATGGCAGCTTAGTATTTTTTAATTACTGTCTTGATATGGATCGAAAATATGGAATATGGTGACTAGCTAAAGATAGCAAGAAAGCAATAGATAATAAGCGATATTGGTGGGTATGAAAATCAAAGGAGAAGGAATAAAAATAAATGGTAAGTAGAAATATTTTTAAGTCATTCTGGGTCGAATGCGCAAAAAAGTAAAACCCATAATTTCAAAATTAATTTATTTTTCTAAAATTATATTTTTACTATAGGTGATCGCAAATTGTATCATATCATATAATAATCACTTATCTATATATTTATATTAGCATTCTTTTTAGATAAAATATACAAGTTTATCTATAAATATATTTAAATATACTCGTTAAGCTTAGTTATATAACTAGCACTAAGATCTAGAGATGCCAATTGAAAATTAGCGTCAGATTAAAACCTGATTTGGACAACTGTTTTGGTGCAACCGTGAGACAATAATGATAACGTTTATTGTTTTTTTAATAATTTATTAATATTGTACGTATTTTCCATATTTAAGTATCATAAATTATAGTTGTTCTTTATCATTTTAAAGAATCAATAATTATTCATTCATTCAATTACAAAACTATTATCCAAAAAGTAAGCCGATGAATTTTGTAATTTATGATCTACTAGCTTTCGCCAGCGGCTTCGCCCACGTGGACCCTAGAGAAATGTTTAGTGGGATAAAAAGTATCCTATTATGTCAGTCAACTAACACCTTATCTGTATACCAAATTTCATCAAAATTCGGTTAGTAGTTTCGGCGTGATTGACGTACAAACATCTAAACATCCAAACAAAGAAACTTTCACATTTATAATATTAATAGGATTAGAAGGTAAAGTATTTTTAGTGGAAGTAATATGCTTAAGAAAAGTTTTAGTTGTAACTTGAAAATTGTATGCAATTCATTGAATCTTTACTGAATTCCATTTTTCATTCCATGGTTTATAAGTAGTTAGATTTTTCGTTTCTATTATTCAAGCGATCCTTGTCCAATCGAGTTCTTTTTAGCTTTGAATATTTCACGTGACTTACAGAAACGGTAAACACTCAACTGGATCTGACATCTGAAATCGCTGTATTTAACCATGCAGGTTAAATATCCTCTTGTGACTAAATACAATACATAGATAACAATCTTTGGGCTTCCAAAGATTAACTCTAGATTCTAAAAGAAAAATCAATTTTAATGATATCAAGACTAAACAGGCACTAAATTCGTATCCTTTCTAAAATTCAAGATGGCATCGTATAGTATCACACACAAGCAAATCCCTGTAAGGTGCTGTTTTGAAACTTGATAATCTATTGTTCCACGAATTAGTCTCGCGGATCGCGTTTGCGAATTCGAGTGTTGGATAAATTAATTTTGTACACCATTTTTACTGGAACGTGTGTTGAAATACAAATAGATTTAGATCAAATCGAATTGGTGCCTGCTACATCTGTCTCAAAAGATACGTACGGAATTGACATCTAAGATTCCATTCACGTGATCTATATTGGTGTTGGATGGATCAATATAAACGGGACGCATTTGAATTTCTAAATCTGTCAAGAGCTGACCCGATGCGTGGTGTATTATAACTTTTCAATATTAACTACAATAGGTATGTTTTGTATGTTGATTATAGTATCGTATGTTTTTTTATCAACAAGTAGGTACAAATTATGATGTCGAGTTTTATTAACAAAAAACTTTATCGTTCTTTACCAAAAAAGGAAATCTCTTATCCTTCGGCTGTTTGTCTGTCTGTTCGTTTGTCATAGCCCGATTTTGTACCTATACTACTGACATATATTACGGTACACATATCTAATGCGTCCCAAAGACGGCAGTAAATTACTAAGTAAATTACTTTTCAAAAATTAAATATAAAAAAACTGTTATGTAACATTGTTATGTTACATACAATAGGTATGTTTTGTTAATGAAAGGGATTATTGTGAGGATCTCAAACATATTTTTTTGTTTATACATTATATCTCATATCTACATAGTTGAATGCAAGTGGCATCGACTTTTTCAACATTCGTCATAAACAATGTACATTTATAATTATCAACTATTATATTTTGTTGTTATATAACTAAAGCATTTAAAATTTTGTGTGTAACCTTTTTCACCTGTATTAATATTTATGCGAACCAGTTAACTTTTCTTTACACAGAAATGTGTTTTAAATAGTGAGTCATCTTAAAGTTACGTATAAAAAACCAGCACTATGCCATGTTTTGGATTTGACTATTATAAAATTCCGTCTTTTTATAATAAAACTGTAGTAATTATTATTTGTTTTAATAATAAATGCACCTTATCTAAAGCTACAATCGTGAATGTTCATGATATTTCGTTGTGTAGAGAAAGGGAAAAAGGAAACAATTGCTCTTATAATGACGAATTTAAAAGCTGCAAAGAAGTCGTCAACCCTTGCAAGCTTTCAGTATTTTATTAGAAAGCCTGCGGAAACTTTTACGAATAGGTACCAAGGAATGGGCATGTATGTACCTCGTCAAGGAGTCCTTGACGTCAACTATATATCATTCGTAAACACAGCAAGGCCAGTAAGTTTTTAGTTTTGTAGTGAATTAGTTTACGTATATTTGATTGTGTTCAAAACTAGTTATAATATTATATAAGTTCATTTAAATATTGATTTATCTTTCTGTTTTCATTTTCTCAGGTAAATTCTACACGTGCCGAAATAATCAAAGTGTACAGAATATGTGAGTATATTATAATTTTTGATGTCCAGGATTGGTGACCGCGTATGAATACTTGTATTATAAAGGGGATTTCATTTGTTTGCAATGAATAGATTTCGAAAATTACTGGACCGATTTAAAAAAATCTTTCTGCTACATCATACGCGGGTGACCAGTGGCGTAGCGTGGAGGGGTGTCCTGTATCAAAATTAGATGGTTGTTCCAGATGGAGGGTAAAAATTTTTGCTTACACACGTCAGGGGCCCGAATTGCCTGGGGCCCTTATAAATTTACCCGGGTGAAGTCGTGATAAAACAGCTAGTTAGATATAACATTATTATTATCTTTTACGTATGCTTTTACATTGGCATTGATAATTTAATATGAATGATAAACTAATACTCTCAGATAATGTTATTCAATAAATCACCTGTGATTCACAATTTACGACATTTGCGCAAGAATAAATTATTATTATGGCATTATCAATAAAATTTGTTATTTATCTGGGAAATGCTAAACATTTAATGTTTCTTGGCGAGTTTTTTTTGTAATCTGACATTCAGTCCTTAAGTGCGATGAAATAATATTCCAATCATGTCCTACAACGATAGGTATATTGATAATATATAGCTCGCTCTGAGAGGATCTGGGTCCATTAAAATTTACATTATGAAATTAGTGGCATGAAATTAGTTTCATAATATTAATTTAACTAGCAATATCACGTGCATTTGTAGAAATTCACAATACATGCATTAGTTTTATTAATAACAGTAACACTGATAGAGTAGTTTCATGACATGCGCATATTTTTGATAAAATTAGTGTCACTAACGTTGCTCACAGCGTCAGTTTCTCAGAAATGTCGGTTTTATGCTATTATAAAATAGTTTAACATGTGCTGAAATTAGTTTCATGAGACTTGTTTCATTATGCATGACACTAATTTCGTAATGTACTTTCGGTTTTATAATAATTTTCTTTATACTCAGTTGATATTATACTATACTTGCGAGTCGACTTTTCACTTATTCGATGTACCTACCTAGGTTTAGAATTCATGCTCTGAATCTGTAAAAGTGTTACTGTAATTATGCTAACTCGATTTGCATTCTTTTAATATGTGTAAAAGTGTTATGGAATATCTTGAGTAGTCGCAAGACGCAGTTTCCGTAATCAAAAGTTCCTGTTGTAACTACACAACAGGAAAACGTGTGCAATGCAGTACTGCAGTCAGATTGTTGTGTTTTATACTGTTTATCAGTTTGAAATTGCATGTGTGTGATGCGTTGCATGCGTGTGTTGCGGAGTGCGGCCGTGTGGTTTTTCTATGCGTGTGTGCGTGTTCCTGTCAACGAGCCGCGACCGTCGAGCGGAGCGCGATCGCCGGCGCCCGCCAGTCGTGTTCCAAACGCCGCGAGGTTCATGTGTTTCTCCCGTATCGAACCCCGTCTCGCGATCACAACTTTATGCACTGGAAACTTTTCAAAGCAATTTCGGACGGATTCGATTGTTGCGCGTCACTATCGCTTCACGTTTCCAGCGGGATCGTAAAGTGTGCCTTGCTGGCGACCGTTCGTGTGTTGTCGCGCGTTTCATACCACTCGTTCGGTCTATTTTTGAATATTCTCTAAACGCTACACCCGAGAAGTTTTCGAAACGCAGTCCGTCGAGTCGGGTTAACGGCCTCGTGTATGCACGCCTGCATCACATCTCTTGTGTTTTTGTTGGCGGATAACATTTTGTGCAGTTACCATCGACTGTTCAATCAGAGAAACGTTATCTGTAAGTATGACCCCCGGTTGATTTACGATACTCGCTGTCCATTTATCCGTTTCTTCTCGATTTAAAATTAATTTCTTAGATGTCATTTGTTATCAGCCAGTTGATTGTCCACGTTGTCCAGTATGTATATGTAATTAAATGGATTATTTTCGATCCGTGAAACTTGTTGAAAAGTACAAACATATAGTGGGTCTCTTGGTAAGCGAACGTTGTTGTTTCGTGTGTGCGTCTGTTATGTATTGACACACTCGCGTATATGTACATACATAACTACAGATGATCTGTATTCCGCTGTGTACATTCGTATTCAAACATTTATAACGCGAACCTTTATGCCTGCCCATTGTGCTCTTCTCCGTAGTATAAACTCGCATAACCAACACAATATTTATATTTCAATTAAACAATTCTATTATAATTACTCTCTGTTGACTGCTTTTGTTGCATTATTGTGTTTTTAAAATGTTACTGTAAAAAGAACTTTGAAGTCTTAATGTTTGTCGTCTAAAAATTTATAATAACAATGCGGTGACGCTAATCTGGTGTCATAATACTAATTATATATTTTACAATTTAAAATTAATTTCTTAAGACGCCAAATTAGTAACATTGTCTTTAAAAGCAAAGGTATCCATTAAGACAATCAATGGTAATATAAGTCAATAACTTCATATAGTGGTAATATTTGATCAATTTTTACTCAAAAATATTCTTAAAAAAAATGCTTAAAAAGAAAAGTTAAGAGCATTCGCCCGATTGCGAAAGGTCCTAAGTTCGAATCCGATCTCAGAGTGCAGCGGGACAAAGGGAATGCAAAATTGATCAAATATAATAATTAGAAAAAAAAAACATCTTTATCGAAAGTTTTAATATTTCTTTCGGCTTTGGGTGGATTGCTTGAACATTGATGAAAGTACGCTCTGAAGTAGCGAAAAAGTCACAAGTGCTTAAAAAAATTAGTCAGTCCTGTTAGGTCCTGGGTAGCTAGCCATCTCAGAGTGCCAGGGACAAAGTGAATTCATAAAGTGGTGTTAAAATATGCAAATAATTATTCCCAACACGTTTACGAAATGGAATCTGACTACTGATATATCATCACAATTTTCATCGTGAGTTGATTTGGGGTCAAAACAGTATGGTAACCACACTTCTAATAATGCTTCAATAAAAAATTGTAGATAATTCTTTCAAATCTGCCCTCAGTTACTTAGAACCAAAATACGCTGATGCTCAGAATAGTTTGAGTACAGACTAACTGTGGACATATGTACAGACTTATGCGTACGCTACGCGTGTGCTTTAATAAATACAAAAAATGTTACAACCTCGTTCATTTTTTTAACCTTGATCTAAAGGCACCAAAGATAATTTTAATACTTAATAAATTATTACAACTTTTGCATTTGACACCTCTGTCCTAACCACAATAAATCTCATTTAAAATTGTTGAAAACGGAGCTGGAACAGTATATCCTCCACTATCATCAAATATTGCTCAGTTTTAAGTTATAAAGTTATACCTATAAAGTGGATAAAAAATCCATCATTTGACTTAAATTCAAGAAAAATTTGTTTCTTTTTTTATGTAGATAGACACAAAATACTCTTGATAGAGCCGGCTTACTGTTGCACCGTTGACAGTGAATAATTTCGAACAGCAAAATATATACTTAACGTACCACATAGGATTCCTAAGCTCTTATTATTTTGAACTAGACTACAATAATGAAATAGTTCTAGGTAACTACTTAGCAGTCTTTATGCTCTCTAACCAGTTTTGAATTTTCCGTATTGTGAATGATATTAATTTTGTATAGCACCCGGGCACTAAATACTCTTGATTTTTATTCCACGTATTAGTTAATTATTGTCAAAGATGAAGAATCTTTCAGCTTGCATTGCTATGAAATCTATTAACATTATGATTTTCGCAGATTAATCTAAAATTTACCTGCAAAGCCATAAACTTTTGATTGTACAAATGAATATAAATTTATTTTAATTATATAATATTGCAAGCATAAACTTTTATTAAGTTTCGTCTGCACTTTAAGGCTTCAATCTACAGAAATTGTAATATTATTTAGATACTTACGTTAAATAGTCACGAAGTAATATACACGTATTTAATACAATTTTAAGGACAACATCCAAAATTCTTGAAGGCGTAAAAGAAACTGAATAATAGTTACAAAATTCTGAGAAGCTTGTCAACATTCCAAACATCGATCGCTTCGATTCTAAGCGAAGTATTTAAAAGTAGATCCTAGGCATATTCAGTGCTACATATTCAGAATTATGCTATTGACGTTTCACTTTGAACATATTCTTGCAGTATTTCTTAACGACAAGCAAATGTCGGCTAAGTTTATTTATTTCGTCGAATTTGGGTGATTTTTATTGTCCATGTAACTCTGGTGTTTTACATTGCCTTGGAGACTTCGTGAGCGTTCGAGTCTATAGAGTCTTAGGCTTCATCTATACCGTCGAGTTTTTAGACCGCAGGACTTCGAGTTACGATAATAACTCCTATTTAGTTAGCATCGAATTCAGATCCGGTAGATTTGCTGAAGTGAAAGACCATCAAGGTCTTACGCGTCTATATTTTGTAATAGAAGGTTTTCTCGTAGCTTAAGATTGACCGGACATGAAGAGACGACTCCATATTGTCGCATGTAAACTTTTGTCTTGAATTTCTTATTGTTGCACCTTCTCATTAAGTGTTCAATGATTTCTTTAAACATGTCATACGTCTGTGATGAATCAGATTAGTACACAACCAATGTAGTTCAAATGTAACTTGGTATATGTATTCTGCGTCATATAAAATCTTTACCGACGTTTTAACAGTTGTAAATATGAATACAGTTAATACTCGTATTAATAGCGAAAGTTACACTTAATTAACAATTCTTATTGTTTACTCTTCAGTCTTGCGTCTATGCAACGCTCATAAATACTTGTGAAATGAAATGAAATATAATCGACAAGAATCGTTTGCTTATAATATGTTTGATATCAATATAAAACTTTTGGTGGGTACTACTATTATAATATTTACACCCTGACGTGTAAAATAAAATATGCAATAAAGTACAAAAAGAATGAATATGTTTTTAAAATGAAATATTTCTGTTTGAAGGTTTAGTAATTAAATACACTTTAGTTTTACTCTCACATTATTAATGGTTGCCACGCTAAAATGGTTCATTGTCCAGAAAGTTTTAATGGCCTTAGAAATTGATGCTAACTTTTTAGATCTTTGTATAATAATAAGCGTTAGGTTTGACAAAGGAAGTGTAGCGAATATACTTTAAATAGAATGATATACCTATTTTATAATAACAACTGTTCCAAAACCGATTTCAAGGATTTTTGATGTTATTTCGCCGTGAATTGTTATTTATTGGGAACTATTCAACAAAATTTTATAACATTTAAATTTGCATAGATCGGTGGCGGCGTAGTAGATAAGCGCCGCGGCCCACGATCGTGGTTGTTAAGCAACTTTCGCGAGGGTCGGTCACGGAATGGGTAACCAGAATGGAAGGGACTTCAAGTGGTTAGTCCCGGCTGTATTTGCAGTCGTTAATAACCCCCAATCCGTATTGTGTTAACATGGCCAATACTCCTTAACCAACCTTAAGGTTTAATGAAGACCTGAACCGCTTCAGCGCGGACGTAAAAGTGCTGATAATGATGTATATGATTCGTCTACTTATGAATTTATTTTAATTATTCTACTTTGTGTCACAATGTTCATAGTTTAATTATCAGTATAATATTTATTTCTAATGTCATGACTATCCTATTAATCTATGTCTAAACACCGTTGGTCCTGTAACTTTGTCCTTTGGTAAATCTCGTGATTACGGCCTCGGCTTAGAGAAACCGATTTGGATCGTGTTCACACAGTAACGGTAGAGCTTAATTCACTGTTCGTATAATTTGTGTATAATCGTCCTTAGTGTTCTGGAACAGAGACACATTTAAAATATCCATGAATATAAACAAAGACAAAATCTATATAATCAAAAATTGTCCAAGAGAGATTCGGACATGAGCGCAGAGAGTTCCGAGCAAATATTGAATTTTAAAAATTTGTTATAGATTTTCCTGAAATCTATAGATACAGAACAATTTGTGTTCCTTTTTTCATAATTCTAGCCTCCATAGTAACGGAAATCAGGAGGGCGATTGTTTATTTTCGCCTATTATCTAAACTATTTATAATAAAAAGTATACTTTTTTGATATTTTCAGAATATTTTTTTTATTAAATACTAGCTATTATGGTTTATTATTATTATGATTTTCATTATCGGGATTGAAATTATCAAAATCTTTTCTTTGTGAAGAGAAATGTCATCTTTCAGATTCTGTATATCCTAGAATATATCAAACTTTCTGTGTTTATTTGGTGGTTTTCTTTTTATAATATAAACAGAAAACATTTGCTCTTAATGAAAAAACCTTAAAATATCCACCTGCTTCATTTTCTGTGAGATTGGACACGAAGCCACCCTTTCGCAATCCGGGCGATTGCTCTAACCACTGAGTTGCCCAGAACCCAAAACTGACAGATTTTTCAAGCACTTTATCATCAATGTTCAGGCAATACACCCAAACAGCCGAAAGAGATTTACAAATACTTTACACTTTCAATTATGGTGAAAATTTGTTCAAATTTTTATCAATTTTGTATTCACAATGCTATACTTGAAATAACCTTAATGGAAACATTTGCTGTGCATACAATTACTCGTGCACCCATGGTAGAGATGATAGAGTGATCGTGGTCATTTTGAGGCCGAATCCTTTGGCTGTCTTTGCGTTGTGTTACCAAGTTACTCGATGTTTTGGCGAGATGTGAACAATCGTACATATAAATGTGCTGCAAAATAAGTAAAGTATTGTCCTATCTATACCAATGTATATTCAAGCTTGGATAGGTTTAATTTTTTTCGACAATTCAAAACACCAGTGGCAAAACGTCAAACA